GCCTAATAATTGCCACGTACTCCAAAGATGGTATCGCTTTTTTTTCATTTAAAATGCAAATTAAATTCTATACATGCATTGGTACCGTGTCAACATCAATGTCACTTCTCTGATATTTGTGTCAATCGTCATTTTTGTTATTATAGGATGGTGTATTTGAGAACGATAGGCATATTTTTAAAAAAAAAAAGAAAGAAAAGATTTGACAAAGATTACAAAAATAGCTGTTGTAATTTTAATTTCATCTATTTGGCCTTAAATGGTAAGGCGTGGCTTAAGGCTTCGTCAAAGAGATGGCTATATTGTGTAAGAGAGTGGAAGAACCGGATCGATATGCTCGAGGGTTGAGCAGAAGGAGATATTTTCAAATTGTTGTTGTGAGATGTTGTGCTGCTGCTGTTGGCAGCCGTATCATTGTGCTTTAGCTGTTAGCATTATTGATACAACAATTGTTGGTATTTTAGCATATCGTACCGCTGATTTATTGTACAGATCGGGAAATGCTAAGTAAGTTTTTTCATTATTTTAAACTAAATATTGTTCATACTTTAATTTAATGAAATATTTATTTGTTAATTTAATCAGTGATTTAAGAATAGATGAATATGATTGTATTAGTATCAGTGATGAATGTGAAATTGTAAAAGTAGATGAATTGAATTTAATTCAATTGTTAGCAGCTTATTGGAGGATTGATTTGCATGAAACTTCAGTATACCTTATAAATTATGAATCGATTAAGGAATCCATTGTAGAGGCGTAAATATGATCATTATGATATAGTTTTTTTTTTAATGACAATGATTGTAATAGTTAATATAAGTAAGATTAGTTAGATAACATTAAATAATTTTCAATAAATGGTCATAATTTCTGACATTTTTGGGAAGGAATATTAAAATTTTGATTTAAAAAAAGTAAATTTAAATAATGAGTTTGTTGGTTATTTTCAATCATAAAATGTGAATTATAACTAACGTATTAAATAAAAAATTATTACATCTCTTATAGGCCTATGGCTTTTTATTTGTTCATATAACAATTTTAAAATTCGATTTATTTATCTGGAAATTTGTGATAAGTTATGATTATATATACATTTTATATTTGCTTATATTATTAT